TTATCATGTCCATTTAAATATATCTACTAACTGTAAGAAAAAAAGGCCGATAACAATAAAGAATGGTTACGTCAATCCAATTTATATAGGCCTGTATTTTGATCTATGGTTATTCTTATAAGGGTTACTTCACTGCCTATATTTTGATCTATGGTTATTGTTGTAAGGGTTACTTCATTGTCTATATTTTGATCTATGGTTACTGTTATAAGGGTTACTTCATTGCCTATATTTTGATCTATGATTACTGTTATAAGGGTAACTTCATTGCCTATATTCTGATCTATGATTACTGTTATAAGGGTAACTTCATTGCCTATATTCTGATCTATGATTACTGTTATAAGGGTAACTTCATTGCCTATATTTTGATCTATGATTACTGTTATAAGGGTTACTTCATTGCCTATATTCTGACCTATGATTACTGTTATAAGGGTAACTTCATTGCCTATATTCTGATCTATGATTACTGTTATAAGGGTAACTTCATTGCCTATATTTTGATCTATGATTACTGTTATAAGGGTTACTTCATTGCCTATATTCTGATCTATGATTACTGTTATAAGGGTTACTTCATTCCAAACTCTATATGCCTATATTTTGATCTATGATTAGTGTTATAAGGGTTACTTCATTCCAAATTCTACATGCCTTCTATTATAAGAGTTACTTCATCTCAATTTCTATATGCCTACCTATATGCCTATTACGTCAATATGGTTACTGTTGTATATTGGTTACGTCAATATGGTTACTGTTATATATGGGTTACGTCAATATGGTTACTCTTATAAGGGTTACGTCAATATAGTTACAGTTATAAGGGTTACGTCAATATAGTTACAGTTATAAGGGTTACGTCAATATGGTTACTGCTATATAGGTTACGTCAATATGGTTTCTGTTATAAGGGTTACGTCAATATAGTTACAGTTATAAGGGTTACGTCAATATAGTTACAGTTATAAGGGTTACGTCAATATAGTTAGAGTTATAAGGGTTACGTCAATATGGTTACTGTTATATAGGTTACGTCAATATGGTTACTGTTATATAGGTTACGTCAATATGGTTACTGTTATAAGGGTATACCATACGTCATTCCAATTTCCATAGGCCTGTATTTTGATCTGTTGTTTCCGTTATCGCGTAATGACAATCCATTTTACCATTTCGTTTCGTGGATTTACTTTTAAATGTCGTATCTCAACTTACGATAATTCATTGAGTATTCTTTATCAAAAAAGCGCCGTTTTCTTTAGGAAATGGGTTTATATGGCTTTGTTGTAACGTTTCCAATCTTTGAAATGTATTCTCATAGCAGCTGATGACTTGCGACGTGACAAAACGCATCATACGAATTGTTGAAAATGTACATATGTAAATATGTTTTATTATCTATTATATTTAAATAAAATACCTACTAATGTTATACAATTCACTATTCAACCCGTTAGAGGGGTGTGGTCGTGTTGCCTAGAAATGCACATGCTTTGATAGCTTATTCAATTCAAAATTTTAATACAAGGGGGCATACAGAGGTCATTGACTTTTAAAATTGTAGACTTAAGAAACTAAAGAGATATTACCTACTTAATAAACCCCAAATCAAAATTTTAAAACTTTTTCTTATCTCATAGAAAGTCCAAAAATAAAATCGTCTAATAAAATACGCCTACTCTCTGACTACTAACTTCAGCTTTGAATTAAAATTTTTCTTTCATTTCTTTATGCTATTTGTCTTAGAATGTCTTCGGGTCCATGGAAATATAAGATGATTTTGCTTTTGAAATAAACTCACTTTCCTTGGTTTACAAAATATATAATAACTTTTCCAGTGGCATGTTGAAATGAGATGATAATGTTTTAATAATGCTATGAAATAAATCATATTGAAATGTGATGAAGGATAATGAAATTTAATGAATGTAATGAAATTTAATGAATGTAATGAAATAAATAATGATAATGAATGAACATTTTCATCAACCTAAAGGCAATGAATACTCTCTGTATTTTGTTCTTGATGTTTCAATTCATACGGGAAACGGTTGTCAAAATTCAATAAGTAAACATAGTAGTCAGAGAGTAAAACAGGTACTGCGTATAAACCTATGATCACCTTGTCAAATTCGGAATAAAAATTCTTTGGTAGCTATTTTAATGATAATCTTAGTGAAAATTGTCAAAACTAAGAATCAGAGCGCTGGAATAATCACAGTGATATCATAGGGCTTTGTGTTTTCAGTTGAAGTCATCAACTAGTGTCACTAAATATATAGTTGTCAATAACTTGTGTCACTGATGACAATAACGATTAAAACCATTAGATATATATCATCTGTTCTCAAACTACTAATCGAGTATTGTAGTTTATAATATATCAATAGTGTGTTTGTAATCGGGTTTATAAAAAGACTCTCCCCACACCTTATTTCATGGAAAATCGTAAACAAAAATAGGCTGACTGAAAATGTCCACATAGGTTTACAGATGGATTATATGGCTTAATTTGAAAAAGTAAAGTTGAACGACAATTAAGGATTCTGTCATTACAACTTTTTGGTTTGATGTCGGATTAAAAATAAAACAAGCGATTATCTAATTGGCGGATGACTAGATGTCGGAATATACAGCTTTTTCTGCTTTTGAGGTCCACATATTGGTGTCGTAATTCGGAATTTACAGAACGTCAGTACTCAGAGTTTTTAAACTGACAAAAGAAGGAAATCCATAGGTACTAAAAATGATGTCTGATTATACAGATTGTCGGAATACTCAGATAAAGGAATTCGGAATTCACAGAGTATAATGTACTATTTGTGAGATACACCAGTGTAAAATATCGGTGAACTCACCATAGCCATAGGGACAACTCATTTTAGAACCGCCCTACTTTCATTTTAAAATTCCCAAATGTTCTAGTCAATATCGTCTGGTAAAGGACACGTGTGCCAGTTATAAATAGGTCATTACTAGAAAGAGAATAGGTAATAGCACTACGTCGATAATTCCAATATTTAGTTTTTATTTAGCTACAAGACATAAATCACTTGATATGACATGGCACTTTGAAAAGAGAACAAGGCGGTGGGAGACAAACTACTGCATAAAGTGCCATGATGCCGCATCAAGCACTACTCAAGCATACAAATTCATGTGATTATATATCAATTGAAAGCTAGTAGAAAATGTTATATTAAGATTCAAGTTGTTTTGAGAAATAAAATACCTTTTACGCCAGGTGTACAATACTACTGTGACATATTAACCGCCACCGGCCTACATACTGCTTTCACTACAAACTAGTTCTACATAATATGACTATGTTTCCTACCGTAATTTACTTTCTACACGGCTAAGTTCTATCGTTTCTTCTCCCTATCACGTTCAAAATGTCCAGTTTTTCAATCTCCGCGTTTATATAGTAATCCAACCTCTAAAATCCTTATATTTTCACATTTTTCAGAAGGAATTTCCTACGCCTGCTCCATTGGTTGACCTTTATTTAGGTTAGGAATGAAACCGTAACTGGTTTGTGGAGGAGAATGGAGAGTTGATTGGTCAAGATTAACCAGACTTTTCCCAAGTTATGTTCGACATTTTTAGCAAGACAATCGAGACTACACACACAGTTTCACTTGTTTCTTTGGTTAGATATTTTAAACCTTTCGCTTATGTTTGAACAATAAGAATAAAGACTGGCAATTATTTGGAACAATACGGTATTTATGTAAATACGTTTATAGGCCTTTATTTTTTGTCTGAAGATAACTAAAACTTTGTCAGACAAGACGACATACGCTCACGACAACCATCAAAAATTATGATAGATAGATAGAAACAGCTATTTTTTGAAAGGATAACAACTTAGGTTCTGTCTTTTAGCTGGTCCTTGACCAAATCTGTCGACATTAGCCTCTTTATTTTATCCGGAACCATTTACGGCTCGGCTGATATTGTTTCAATTGCATTGAATTCAACAACGAATTCAAGAACAACAACTGACGAACGGAAATCTTCTCCTTCTTCTTCTAAAATTCCTTACGAGGTCCGAAATTATACCTCTACCTATAATTCAAGCTGAACAAAAAATAGCTTACGAGGAAAGGTAACATACGCCCACTACCAGCTAAACTAACTCTTTAGTGGCTTTATAATGAAGTTTCAAATAATCTTAAAACAAAATATTTATAGGTCAAGACTAAACCTAAAAAAACAGTTCATCAAATTAAAACATGAACAAGGACTCATCGACATATATGATAATGGCAATAACTCCGAAACTGTTCATTGGATTATTACCAATATCGAACTTGAGCGAGAACTTAACAATATATAAAAAGTTTCATTAAGATCAATTAAAAGCTGTCTCTATCGTGTCTACAAGAAATGTGAACGGTGGGACGAACCGACGGACAAGGTCGACGACAACATAATATATTATGTCCATATGTCTATGTGGGCGTATACAATTTGCTTTGAGACTGGTAAAGGGAGATAACCATTATGAATCTGGAATACAAACCACAAACAAACCATTACATATCAAAACAGTGATATAAAATACAAATGACTTTTACAGAAGTCATTGTTGAATTAGGCAGTCGAGCTGAAGGGAGTTAACCCTAGGCCAACTTACATATTATTCAGTGAAAATAACAAAAGCTCTATGAAACTTTGGATGTGATTTTATTCGCAGCCAAAACCTTATGATACCTTTTCAAATTCGACTTCATAGCGAATTTGCCTTTCCTCTGAAAATTCAACAGAAGAAACAGAAACAGAATAGGGGACGTAACTCAATCTTAGATATTTCTCCACACACCATGGATAATCGCATGGACATGATATCATTCTTCGATTTGGTACGTCATCTAAACAAAGTCGGATGTAGCCTATTGATGAGTCAATATTTCTAAATGTTTATTTGATAATGCAGATGAAGGACGAAAATGATTCAAATAAATTATGGAGCAAATTATGAGAAAGGATCAAACTGGTTCAATTTCATCAAAATCGGAAAGTCTACGGGAATCTTCACTACATTTTCTGGAAATCGGTTCCACAAATTCTTCTGATTCTGGAGCTTTATACCGTTCTGTTTTTGATGCTTTCCTTTTCCTTTAAAATAACAGAAATAGTGCAGTTTACAACATTACACAAACTAAGCTATTTGGATTAAGTGAACTACGGTTCCACCTATTTATTGACAAGGGGCTTGGTTTAAAACTTAAAGGGATTGTAATGAGGTTTTTGTAAATTTGGTATATATCAGGGACATTATAGCATCAATTTGCACCATTCCAATTTTCAATCTGACGTCTGTGGTTCCTACAATTGCACTAAAACCAAGTGTTTGATGACGTCACTAATTGCAAAATATCACACAATGCCTTTTGCGATAAGTGACGTCATCAAACACTTTTAGTGGAATTGCAGGAACTACAGACATCTGACTGAAAATTGGAATGTTGCAAATTGATTCTACCAGTGTCCCCGATATAAAATGTAATTAAAAAAAAAATTTACAATCCCTTTAATGCCCCGGTTCCCAACCTGGGGTGTTTCCATCCCCTGGTGGTGTGGGACTAGGGTGTCAGGTGTGGCCAACTGGTGTAAGAGCCCGCCATTTCCACCCGTATACCAAACTCAGTATACTAGCATCTAGCTTACTAATAATAAAACGGAGGCTTTAAAGATCCACGAAAGTTCTGGGAGTCAAGGCCCCAACACAAAAAAAAAGCATTGTTGGCATAAATAACATGGACGGGAACTACAATTTTGACAGGTTAAGAAATATAAAACTTACCATTTATTTTTACGACTTTTAATGATAATGACCACTACTAATAGGAAAATAATAAGAGCTATCATAACACCACCCACAATTAAACCTGAAATAATATAAGACATGATTATCATTATAACACCACCCACAATTAAACCTGAAATAATATAAGACATACCATAACACAACCCACAATTAAACCTAAAATAATATAAGACATACCATAACACAACCCACAATTAAACCTGAAATAACATAAGATATATATCATAACACCACCCACAATTAAACCTAAAATAATATAAGACATACCATAACACAACCCACAATTAAACCTGAAATAATATAAGACATGTCTTAACACCACCCACAATTAAACCTGAAATAATATAAGACATAATTATCATCATAACACCACCCACAATTAAACCTAAAATAATATTAGAATTATCATAACACCACCCACAATTAAACCTGAAATAATATAAGACATGTCTTAACACCACCCACAATTAAACCTGAAATAATATAAGACATAATTATCATCATAACACCACCCACAATTAAACCTGAAATAATATTAGAATTATCATAACACCACCCACAATTAAACCTGAAATAATATAATATATATATCATAACACCACCCACAATTAAACCTAAAATAATATAAGACATACCATACACAACCCCCAATTAAACTTGAAATAATATAAGATATATATCATAACACCACCCACAATTAAACCTGAAATAATATAAGATATATATCATAACACCACCCACAATTAAACCTAAAATAATATAAGACATACCATAACACAACCCACAATTAAACCTGAAATAATATAAGACATGTCTTAACACCACCCACAATTAAACCTGAAATAATATAAGACATAATTATCATCATAACACCACCCACAATTAAAGCTGAAATAATATTAGAATTATCATAACACCACCCACAATTAAACCTGAAATAATTTAAGACATATCATAACACCAACCACAATTAAACCTGAAATAATATAAAACATATCATAACACAACCCACAATTAAACCTGAAATAATATAAAACATGTCTTAACACCACCCACAATTAAACCTGAAATAATATAAGACATATCATAACACCAACCACAATTAAACCTGAAATAATATAAGACATATCATAACACCACCCACAATTAAACCTGAAATAATATAAGACATATCATAACACAACCCACAATCAAACCTGAAATAATATAAGACATACCATAACACAACCCACAAATAAACCTAAAATAATATAAGACATATCATAACACCAACCACAATTAAACCTAATATAATATAAGACATGATTATCATCATAACACCACCCAAAATTAAAACTAACATATTGGAGTTACAATTGTTAGAAATCCGAAATTTCGACTTGTGAAATCCGAAATTTCGAGTTGTGAAATCCGAAATTTCGAGTTGTGAAATCCGAAATTTCGAGTTATGGAAATAAATTTAGAAAAAATAGAAATATAATTTCTTTTTTTAGGTATGCCTCAAAGGCTTTCGTACTTTCGTTTAACACCAACAATAAAACCTTTGAAAATATAAAGTTGAATTCAGCATAGACGAAATGTGTATTCAGAAGCTCGCATATTTTCAGTAGTTTATTTATTCAAATTCAAAGGTTAAAAAATCTATTCTATAAATTCTATAAAGTTAATAGATTATAAATTCCATGTCATTGGACAAAATCAAAGGCTTGCAAATTTTGAGCTATTTCAATATGTATTTAGAAGCTCACAAATTCTAAGGTCGGTCGATGACCGATATTTGCATTAAATTTGCTATTGCTTCATCACATTCAATGTTGAAAATGTTCACCTACCTGTATTTGTGGGTGGACCACCCAATACGGATTCATGTGCCGTTGTCGTAGTCGACATTATATTGTATGGAACTGAAATAGAATAGTTATTTCTATATAAATAATTGGAACGAGAATGAGGATAAGTTATAATATTCCTTAAAAGAGTGTGGAATGCCTGAAAAATACCAAAAGGAAGTCTCCTAAAAAAGATACCGAATTGACATCTCTTATACATAATGACTGCAGGACGGTGTTTCCAAAGAGTGCTTAAAAAGAAGGCAACTGCAAGCAGAACCCCCACGCATGTTGTATTGAAAATACCAGCAAAATCCACTAAACACACTTAATTTGAATGTTTGTATACATAGTTGACCTGAATTTTCAAACATCAAAATGATTTACATACCATTTCCAGTATGATTACCTGCACAATCCACATTATAAAAGTACATGAAATTCAATATATGAATAATCCAGATTCTATGAAAATATTGCAGATCCATATTGGCAAGTATAACGAGAAAATTGTTCTAATATCACCACATAACGAAATGTATGTCTTCTCAGTCGCTTTCACTTGACAATATATTTATCAATTCAGTTCACGTCCCTATAATGAATGAAAACGGAAATTGTTAAATAGCCAATATAATTCAAAGAGATATAATAAGGTTTGATCGGCTTTTTATTTCCATGTTCAATACAGTCGAGAGAGCCCTTGTTGACCAAGAAATAAAATTACAGTGAAGTGTTAAAGATACACAGTCGTATATAATATCTTCTTTACAAGTCGACAGGATTATATTTCTGCGAAACATATCACTTTTCTAAATGAAAATATGACGTACGATTTGTCTGTAATTGATTGAAAGTGCTTTTAACGGGCATTGTTTTAATTTACATAGCAATTAAGGGAGAACCCGAAATCAGATTTTGGAACACTATGAGAGCGAAGATGTCTTGCTAAAGGTTCATTTTCCCTAATTTCACCATCTAACAAGAGCATCATTTATTACTATCTACTATTACTAAGTCAGACTTTCTAATCATTTGGGACTTGATTGTCATCTATTGCATCATTATCATCTGTTACTCATTGTCGTCTTAACAAATTCTCTTTTTTTCGGTAATTCATTTATCACGCGAAACAAAATGATCATCTGAAACATCATTATCATCTGAAACATCATTATCATCTAGCACCTCAACCTCATTATCATCCAGGACTTCATCTTGAAGTTTTTTTATCACTCAATGCATCATCTCCACACTATACTTCATTATCGTCTGATATTCATTATCATCTGGTACACCATTATCATCCGATACTTGGCTATCATAAGGACCTTCAGTGTACATCATTACCATCTACATTATCATTTGGTATACTTTATTACCATCTGGTACACCATTAAACTCTCGTAGGGCCTACACCATTATCATATGGTACTTGGCTATCATTAAGAACACCATTGCCATTTGGAACTTCATTATCATCGGATACTTCGCTATCATTAGGACCTTCATTGTAATGATTACCATCAAATTTTATCCTGGTACTTAAAAACTATCTGGTACTTCATTATCATCTTAAACTTCGCTATCATGCGGACCTTCATTGTAATTATTACCATCTACATCATAACCCGGTACTTGATTACTATTTAGTACTTGATTACCATTTAGTACTTGATTATCATCTGTTACTTGGTTACCAGCTGGTACTTTATTACCATCTGGTACACCATAATCATCTGGTATATGGCTATTATTAAGAACATCATTACCATTTGGAACTTCATTATCACCTGGTATTATATTATCATCTGGTACACCACCATTTTCGAGACTTATTTACGAACAAGAGATATCATAATGAGACAAAAGGCACTCATAAGATATAATCTTGACAAAAATGATAATGTAGGCCCAATATTTTGACGATCACCTTGTATCATCTTTAATGAGTATATCTAAATATTGATACGTACTGTGGTTCCTCTAGCGTTTTAAAGAGCATTGGTCCATAACCCAGTCGTTGATGAAGCCAATTGATCATGTTTCTAAGAATAAGCTCCATATTTCATTTTAAAATCATGACGTGATTTGTACAGTTTAGTGTCGAGTCTGTGCTTGCAGTTGTATGCATTGTGTTTTGGTTTTTTTTTTTTTGTCTTTGACATTCGGCTGTTAATTATTCTTGTCCATCAGTAGAGACTGAGTTTTTATTATTACAAAGTCTTTAAAAGGATAGTTTCGCCATTTTCAGGTGTTGATTTGGTTCTTGAATTCACGTGAGTAGTCTCCAGAAGTACTATAAATGTGCGAAATTTGCATAATTCCTTCCAAAATACCTCAGACTAGGATTTTTACATTCTATTTATGTCTTTCCTATATATGACAGGGTCTCAAGAAAAGACAAGTCGTCTTTTTAACTTTCAAACGCACATAATTCTGGACACACATGGATTTGAAGACTCAAATTTCGACGGAGAGCTGAATACATTATTACAGATTAGCCTAGCTGAAACAAATTACCGTTTCTGAGACTAAAGTATGATTGGTCAAACGAATGACGTACCTATCCCTTTAATATACACGGCCATTGTTAATAGGAACATATTGTGCCGCATGTGAAAATATGGATGATCCATTTTCAGTAGACAGTAGATCCTCCATAACTAACTTTCCGAAATAGATAAAATATAATTAATATGTTATAACATTTTTATTGACAAAAAGCATACAAATTGAAAATTAACATAAACAAGAAAGGAAAACAAACAATAATCTGGCTAAAATATAACCGAAAAGCGATATGACATACAATGACTATGGCAAGCTCTATGCTACATTCTAAAGCGATAAGCCTTAGTGAATAAATATGTTCGTGAGTTTAGATTTGATCATCCATGAGAGATGGAAGAGTACTTCAACAATACAAATACTGTCATGTAATGAAAAGAACATTTTCTTTTTCTCATAACTTCATACATTGAGCAATGAATTTCACCAGAACTGCAGCATTAGCTTCTTCTTGTGTACAGTCCGATATGCTTGACTGATAGAACCATTAAAAGGGATTGTAAATGGCTTTTCTAAATAATTTATGAGCATCGGCGATACTGTGAAGATTCAATTTGAATTATCATATTTTGCGATCAGTGACGTCATCAAACACTTAGTTTTAGTGGAGTTGCAGGAACCACAGACGTCGGAATGAAAATTGGAATGGTGCAAATTGATGCTATCAGTGTCCCCGATTCACATATAAAAGTTTTGAAAACCTCTTTACAATCTCTTTAAGCTAAATGAACAAAAGACTAGTTTCTACATGTTATGAAGCTTATCAAGACAAAGCAAAAGCATATACGAGTACAGACAAAGTAATAGACTTGTATACATGCATTACTCTAAGATTACGTGATTGAAGGCACGTTATACAATACAATACATAATATAATACAATTTGTAACAACTACACTCAGACATACAAATAATGGCACTATGACACTAAATGGTTTTCAATAATTCTTTCATTTATATTAGAAAAATATATCAGAAGATGACATTTGACATAGCTGCTAATTTTCTTTACTAATTAATAAGCCTTAGCTTTAGACAGTCTATAACAACATCAAGCAATATCAACAATTTCTGTATTGAAAAAGAGAATGATAATGATGATTTTGAAATGAAAATGATGATGGAAATAGTGATACAACGGGAACAATAAATCTACAAATAAACATCAAAAGTTCACTTAAACGACATTGTCCAAACTTTGGTTAAACAAGGATCTAGAAATTTTAAGAGGACAAAATCTACTTCTTTTTTTGATTTTAGCTGATTGCTCGTATCACCATCTATTTTCAAGTATCTATATCACTTTTCACAATAAAAATTCAATGTCACGTTCGCCTGCTTTACCTGCTCCGGCGTTATTGAAATTGTCGCATGACATGACGTTATTAGCAGTGATTAAAAAGGTCAATTACTACCATCTGTACATCAACTAAACTGTGTTAAATTCGGTATAATGTTTAATTTCCATTTTAAAAGGGGACAGGGATGGCTAAAACTGAGTTCTAGTGGCTGGTAAAGTCAACATTAATAAACCTTTATCAAAATTGGTATTTTGGTAACAATTGGTGAATCAACCTTTGATAAATATATATGTACAGTATGTGCTATGATATGTTATAAAGAAAAATCATCTTTTTGACGATATATAAATATTACCTGGTGGAAATAACGGTAAACATGAATCTTATATGATCGCACTAACACGTGATAATGTTATTTATATGAATAAAGGACGGTTGAGTTGACATTGACATAAGATATGTGAAATATGAAGGATAGAAACAATAGAAGACATGTATATGACATTATTTTCATAACAAAAACAAGGAAAATTATGAGAACTAATAGAAATAGTAAAAACTATATGCGATTTCAATGGTAGATATTTCAATATCAAAGGAAATGGTTTGTATAGAATCAAAATTGTGTTATTGAAATAGTTACATCAGCACATTATAGACATTTTTAAAAGTATACTACCTCTTAAGATGACGAAAAAATTGAAGTCCAACTGATAAATATATATACTCTTATTGACCAAGTTTGAGACTTTATATCTTATATCCATTTGAAGAGGTAGTATCCCTTTAACAAAACAAAAAGACTGCACTTTTATTCTGAACCAGTTAAAACGTGACAGATTTTTCTTAAAAGTTAATACGTTGCCTAGTTTCTGTGGCTTTTGAAAAAAGGTTTTGAAATTAAATGTCCTGTTAAAACAAGTTTATTATATCCTTGACACAGTCTTAATACAATAGTACTGATTATAAAAACTACTCAAGTACAAAAAGTAAGGAAATTTCTTTCTTTCGTTTTCGTTAAGGTATATGAATAATGAAATGCTTCCAGGACACTCTCGTTATCATAATTAAAATAAAAATTAAGCAAGGCAAAATCTCATCCAAAGAATGGGAAAATCGAGAGTAAAAGATTGTTTTGTAGACGACTCCTACCATGAGAAGTACCGAGTATAAACTTAACAAACGAAACATATTTTCATTCATTCATTCAACAACTTCACCTATAAGTTCGTTTTGATCTGTCAAGGCCTTACGTGTTAGTCGACATCCCGTCTTTGTTTCAGAAGGTTGGAATTTTCATCAACCAATATAAAATAACTTTTGAAATAGACGACATTAAGTCAGCACTTCAACGAATGAAATTTGTCGAGTAAAGGCCTTGACTGTTCAAATTCGACTGACGTTGTAATAGACGTAATATGGCTGAATAGACGTTATTCACGCCTCATTTTTCAGACACTGAATGCGAGGTTCATACGTAAATTTCATGATGCATTGAAAAGATGGCGACGTCATATGAATGAATATTGAAAAGCAAGTATCTTTAACAAAATATACAATGTTGATGAAAAATAAAATTGCTTATTTGTAAAGTTATTAGAAGTGATTAATTTTGTTCCCGTTTACATTCTGGCATGTCTCGACTTTATCAAGCTTCTTCTGTATGTCTTAATTTATCCGTTTCTCTATCACCCTTTTCTTCTTCTGGGTTAGTAGCTAGATCGACGTATACCCCAGCGTTTTTAGTTGTATTCATCTGAACTTTAGCATCTCTTTCAATATCAGACGACCTTTGCCTGAAAAATAGGTTTTGAATCATAATTTATATTCATATTTTCCAGGCTGAACTTTCAACGCATATTGTAGTCGAAATAATTGCTCGGGTAGTTGATTGAGAGAAACATTTTTCTTTAATTATAGATTAACCGTACGTCGTAGTTTCAATTATGAAAAGTAATACGTCTTCAATTACATGTATATATAGACACTTATTTCCATGTTAACGATCTGACTTTTTAACGGTTGATATTTTTATCAATGTATAAATTGAAGGTTCATAAATCTTAATATCAAGTTCGTCTCCAATTCAATAATCAAAAAAAAAAAAAAACGAGAACTGAACTAGCGGAGGAGGCAATGTCTAAGCGGATCATAATTTCCAGACCTTGTCTGTTGTCATTCTCTCGACAAGAAAAATGGTCTGAACGACTCAATTTCAAATTATATAACAACTAGTTAATTCTTCACTCTCGATCTAACAACATTTCTACAATGGTACGTTTACCAGTTCAACCAATCAAATGATATGCTAAATCATTACATTATCCGGGGTATTAATGAGAACAAACTTTTATTCGTGGTCCAGTTTTGTTCTTGTCTCGCTGGATTTAAAGAAGAATTTCGCCACAGCTAAAATTCAAAGGCTATCAAGAGTTGTATCTGAAACACATAGCGTCTACTTTAGTCTGTGAAAACCTTTTGATACTTCATTCTAGACGCCAACAACAATAGATGTGACAGTAGAGACATTTAGCTCTATTAATAATATACTCACTTCTTTTTAAGAACATAGACAACTAATAAAATAACAATAACAATAGCTATGATTGCAGCTATGACCACGCCCACTATTCATCCTGAAAATATAAAATTACTAATTAAAAATTCAATTGGTGTTCAATTCCCAATTGATGATTACTAACTGACTAGCCGGAAGTAAAATGTGCGGAATTTGGTAAATCATTGCAAACTGTCGTTTTAGATTGATCGCCAGATTGATTTATGTTCTTTTGACGTAAAGACCATAAGAATAAATCAAATTCACTTGATGGTTGTCATCAAAAGAGTTTAATAATGTCATTCGTAAAGATTTTAAGCAATGGTGAATAAAGTATTAACAATATTGGAACAGAGTAAGTGTGGGGTAAAACTAGTGGTAACTAGGGAACAGATTGACTACGTAGTGAAACAATTGTTCAGATTTCAAATTCGGAAGCGTAACACTACCAGAAAGTGTCTAAGTTGGTTCTGTCCAAGAACAATTTTGAAAATAATATGATTTGGTTTATTCTGGCACATATTTTGGAGCGAGTATTGTATAAAAATCATATCTTGAAATTTCGTAGAAATGATACGAAACTGGTTTTGGTAGAAATGGGTACAAACTGGTTTTCTTGGTGGGGGAGAGGGTGATTTAAAACTTTATTAAATTTCATTTGAAACACAAATTTTAAGTATCTTATATTGATTTTCAAGAAAAAAAGTATTAGAATAGCATGTCTTATAACAGAAATGTGGTCAAAATAGGCCAATTATATTGATGTCATTAAATCGTCATAGCAACGTTGTTAATTTTTTATACGAAGTTCTCTGAAATAACTTATTAACAAGCTGACAGATCGATTATTTTCCACATTTTAATTTGCAGTCAATGTAGATTATTTGCACTTTTAAAATTGATTACCTTATTACAGTTACCAAGAAAATCTTGAAGTATGGAAGGCAAAGATGGACATTATTCAAACGCTTTCTAGTCTTTTTATCTGTATCGTAGTTGTATCATGTCAATTGGTATTTACAATACCGACGTCATATTATTAATATGGTCAAGTTTATATGGAATTACAGGAATCAAAGTCGTTGGACTGGAGGCACTAATCGCCCCGATTCACATACAAAGGCTAAAAGTCACTTAAAATGCCTCGAGTTATATCAAGAAAATTTGAAAGCATCAATACCTGTGTTATCTGATTGTGGAGTATCAACAATATGTGTTTTATTCATTGTGTTATTTGTTGTTTCTGGTTCGGGAACGACTGAAAAATATAATTTAAAAAAATTGAAAATCCAGTAATGTCTCAAAAAATCTTACTATGAGAATATTCCCCTTAGGGATACCAGAAAACGCCCCAGGGGGTAAATGAAAATCAGAAATTTTGTGGTAGTGGTAGTTTATAATAACCAATGGCTAGACTTCTTTACTATACGAAACTATGTATGGTTTTTGTATGGAAACAGGACTACTATACTACTAAAAATTAGTTTTGTACATATGAACACGCGAAATAATTTTGTGAATACGTTACTCTCATTTGTGTGAAAGAGGATGTTTTGATTGGTTAAAATTCACCCTCTTAAATTCGAGATTATCAACTTAAGTGAAACACGGTAGAAATACATAATAATTTTGACCGTATTGAAGGGCGGATGTCTTTAGAATAACTCTTTATGTTTTTATTCCTCTCTGTTGCCAACTTCCTCAACTTTTGCGTTAGAAAGAGAAAAGAAATTCAATAACCAGGAAACTTTATTAATTGTCTATGACCTAAATTTTATACCACACATTTAATGTAATATAAGTAATTAAAATGGTAATTATAAATTAATTATAGCCGTCTGGACATAACAAATCATTATACAGGCCGAATACATAAATGAAATCAACATGAAGCATTAATGGCGTTGGTTAGTTAAAGTTAGGTTCCTACAACTATGTGACTAAATCACAATACGATAAACTAACGTAATATTAATTTATCGGCAGTCAAAGCCACGAATGTAGCATAGCATGAAACTCTGAGTAGCAACATGATTCAAGTTCTGTTTTTATTTTAACAGTAATATTTCTATGTCACTCTACAATTGATGTATTGAGCACTATTTTAACAGTAATATTATATATCACTCTACAATTGATGTACTGAGCACTATTTTAACAGTAATATTTCTATATCACTCTACAATGGATGTACTGAGCACTATTTTAACAGTGATATTTCTATATCACTCTACAATTGTATTGAACACTATTTTAACAGTAATATTTCTATATCACTCTACAATTGATGTATTGAGCACTATTTTAACAGTAATATTTCTATATCACTCTAAAATTGTATTGAGCACTATTTTAACAGTAATATTTCTATATCACTCTACAATTGTATTGAACACTATTTTAACAGTAATAGTTCTATATCACTCTACAATTGATGTATTGAGCACTATTTTAACAGTGATATTTCTATATCACTCTAAAATTGATGTATTGAGCACTATTTTAACAGTAATATTTCTATATCACTCTACAATTGTATTGAACACTATTTTAACAGTAATATTTCTATATCACTCTACAATTGATGTATTGAGCACTATTTTAACAGTAATATTTCTATATCACTCTACAATTGATGTATTGAGCACTATTTTAACAGTAATATTTCTATATCACTCTAAAATTGATGTATTGAGCACTATTTTAAGAGTAATATTTCTATATCACTCTACAATGGATGTATTGAGCACTATTTTAACAGGGAAAATATTTTATCATCTTATTAAATCAAATGATCAAAGGTCGGGCGTATCATTCTTTTTCAAACAAGACGGTGTCTATATAGGTTCAGTTTTAGATGCTACAGACCAAAGCATACGATGTTTTTAGCTCAAACAAATCTATTTCAAAACTTGGACGCTATGGCCACTACCAGATCTAAATTTTAAAAAAAAGTAGCACTGTCAACTGAACGAAATACTCTAATTGTTCATTTCGCATCCAAACTTGATTTTAGCAGACTGGGGCGACCAAACCTTTAAGTTGGCATGTCTCAAATGTTCCAGTGTTAGCTTGTCCTCGAACTTTAAATTAGTTTTTAACATGTTTATCCTGATCATCTACTTCTAACTTGAGTTGTAATGTATGTCAAACAAGTTCATATCTTTTTTATATAAAAATAAAAGTAAATAGCTCTATTATTTGAGTGTATTGAGGTTGACATTTGTAGAGCAATAAAATCGTGGTTTAATGACCACAATCCATCCCGATTTTGACCCTATGAAAAAGAAATTTTATCGAATATTATCTGTCCCGTGCACTATCGTCCGAGACAATTGATATTATCAACTAACAAAAACGTCTGTGCACATAGAATTAATAAAATACATAATAATCATTTCACATTATAACAGTCTACTGGTCACCTTGGTATGCACCAGAATTTGAAATCGTACGCCATTGAAAATAATAAATACCTGGAATGTTATACAAAATACACAGTCGTTTTCTATGAAATGCAATCATTGGAAATAGAAATTACCTTTAAAGTTTAAATAAGTTCTTAATATTCTATAACCTTAAAGACACGAATCCAAATCCAAAGAGAAAAGTCACAGAAATCTTGTATCCAATACTTGGTTTATGATAATATATTATAACGAATGGTAAATTAAAAGGATTTGACTTGATTATATCATGAAATCACCGAGTTGATTGGTTCAGTAATCAATATTAGAGTATAATTGAATCATTGACAATATCAGCATTCCAATCAAATCGATTTCTTCATACCAATCTTAAAACAAATAAACTGTAGACGAAGTAGGTCGAGGAACAATAAAGGATAATTAGTGGAAAAGATATACTAATTTGCATTTTTATTCTTTACCAAAGCCTATTGTAATCAAAACAATTTACGAGTGCTACCTTTGTAATTAACGCTACGGTGTCATGAAATAAAACGTTAGATCAAACAAAGAAACTGCACTATTTTCAGATCGAGTGTAAATAGACATAAATAACGTCTACCTTTGACGCAGCAGGTGTGAAAAGCAGATTGTCTTTGTTCTGAGCTTTGTGTATGAATATAGCAATAGCATGAATAATGAAAGTTTACTTAACAAAGAGCTTTTAAAATCTTTTAAATGTATCAGGGACACTATAAGCACCGATTTGCACCATTTAAATTTTCAATCAGAGGACTGTGGTTCCTGCTATTCCACTAAAACTAAGCATTTTACAATCTCTTTCAAGTGATATAGCAGTATACACAATTTCAGCTTTACAGAATTAAGATTTGCCTTCTGATTGGCCAACAATCAAAACAAGACGTGACAATACTAAATTGTATAAGTTTAGTATCTTCGTCGCAGAGGATGTTACGGTAAATTATGAGGCCATGAGCATGGAATAAGTTTCTCAATATTAAAATTGTTGTCACTTCAAGGCCCTTTCAGACTACAGAAACCTGTCATTGTTCCAAACAATCTGCTGGCTATATGTTATGCATCCTAATGTGTGTGTTTTTCTTTTAGTAACAAAAATGGTAGGACCTGACAAGATTTCACTCAATGCGCACTGCATTCCGTCGTCCTATTGGCTCAATCGGGTGCAGAAAAGTAGGACGTAAAACTCCATTCATTTCATTTCATTTACTTTCCCTATTCTGATTCTATGTTCAGTGCGTTACACAAAGATACACAATTCATATTTTGTTCAATTTTTATCAATATAATATTATTCAATAAAGTGATATAACAAGCTGTTGAGTGTTGAAAAAACAATTTACCTTGAGGTCACGTTCACTTTGACCTGATGTTCACACTGCTCTTATCACACATTCAAAATATCAAACAGTTAACCATTTGTCAAGTACAGTTCTATGAGGCGTTTTAATCAAATTTGCAAAAAACGAAATATGAATAGAAAAGAAGTTAAACACGCCCTTATCCGCCCTTATCCTGTCGATAGCTGTACGAAATATTTTGCAGGCCTTAGTGTCAGGGAAAATGAGTGTTCCAATATACAAAATATCAAATTTTGAATGTGATAAAGATGAAACGTCGTTACATTTTGTTTTCCACAACTTTGACGCCATTTTTGTTTTCACTCAAAAAAGATGTGTAGCTATAAAAGTCCATCAAAAATAAACAATGGAAGTTGTTACTGGACAAATATAACAGGTTGACTAAATAACCTTATTGATTAAACAATAGGATATAGGACACGAGATGGAATTTTTGTCTGCATGGTGTCAAAGGTGAATGGTAGGACCTGACAAGATTTCACTCAATGCGCACTGCATTCCGTCGTCCTATTGGCTCAATCGGGTGCAGAAAAGTAGGACGTAAAACTCCATTCATTTCATTTCATTTACTTTCCCTTTTCTGATTCTATGTTCAGTGCGTATTGACTTGCTTACGTCGTACTAGCAACATTAAACCCAGAAGCTCAACTTTCTATAGGCATATGTAGTCAATATCCTTAAACCGGTTGTACAGAGGCTTTCTAAACTTTCTATGTGTATTTGGGGCATTGATTTGCACCATTCCAATTCCAAGTCTGTGGTTCCTGCAATTCCTCTAAAGGTAAGTGTTAGATGACGTCATTAATTGCAAAAAGCTTTTTTGTAATAAAGTATAGTTTGCAATTTGTGACGACAGCAAACACTTTGTTATTGTGGAAATGCAGGAACGACAGACGTCAATTGGAATTGTGCAAATGGGTGCTATCAGTGTACGCAATATACCTTTTTTGTTTAGATAACCTCTTTACAATCACTTTAAGAACAACGTGAGATAAGATAACACATAGGTACACCTAGGTTAGAGATCGTATTATATATTGATTGTGTTATGAATCATATATAATATCAGACCCAATATTTCATTATCTCTCGTAACAGTCTCCAGTTATCGACTTTATAATTCCTTTTGTAATTCACGTTCATTGTGATTAATTGTAAATTATGAAATTGATGAATAATGAAAAAAACTCGAGAATTATGTAACTAGTTGAATATGTAGCCATGGACTATTCTGACTAAGGATATCATCCAAGGATGTGACCACTTAAACCTAGGACGGAATCAACCTCCTGGTTCTGCTGGAGACCTATCTCTAGGTGACTCCCCTAGAGGTGACCCACCTCCACCTTAAGTAAATCCTACCTCTTAATTAATTATGTCATGATTTCACGCCTTGTTCTCGTCGACTGTATTGATCTCTCGAACTTTCTGGTCTCTCGAGCCATCGATATAGAGCTATAAGTGATATATTTCTAGAACAAGGTCGGAGTCACGATGAATAAGAATGTATCATTCATACTCATAGACAGATATGATGTGGGAAATATTCAAATTTATGATATAAAAAGGTTAATATTCTGGCAAAGTATTCAAAATTCCAAGATTTGGTACAAATCCGGGAAAAAGAGCAGAGGCGGCGCCAACCTTCGGAGACTGGGGTTACAAATAGGGGGCAGACTGACTCAGTGGGAGAGAATTGCTGAGGCTGAATTCAAATTGTGGCTACTCTGTGGTGTAGTAGTCGCAAGTCTCTCATAGAGCGTCTTAGGGGGTTCTCTCAAGAAAATTTAGAAAAAATGAATTGATTTTGTTGATTCTGACATATTTTGAAGAAAAAAGGTAGACATTTAGAAAGCGGGGGTACTATTGGGGGTGCAAACCACTTTTCTAGGTGGGTAAATGCCCCCACCTCTTTCTGTACCCCACTGGCACCGCCATTGGAAAAGAGTGACAACCAATTATTTCTCAGTCTCGACAATAATTATTACTCTGAGTGTGAATGCAATTCAATACGTCTATTAAATCGAGTCACAAAATTTATTATTTTCAGTCTTTGTCATCTTGGCTCTTAATTTAAAGACAATATGGATTTTTTTCATTTGACTGAAAGTAATTGTATTATATGTGGCATAATTATTCTATTATAGTGTTCTATATCAGCTATATTGATTACATCATAATCTTTACTGTGAATAATACAATCATATTCCACAATATTTATTTATAGAGTTGCTGACATAATATGACATAATGCAAAAAATATAAATCAAAAATTCTTCGAGAAGACTCATAAGACATTTAGGGAAATAACACTGTTTTCAAAAACGTTTGCTTTGTCAATATATCTCATGTCCTGCACACTGTATGGCGTTGTCAGATCCTCCATGCCAAATCAGGGACAGAAAAGAAGGACGTAGCACTAGACAAATCAACATAAAATCTTCATGTACCACCATACCTAGGTGATCTAATCTTAACCAAGATACCTTCAACTTTAATCTTCAGGCATTTGCAAGCACAACAATCGTCATTCGGATTTTAACATTAACACTGATGGCAATCCTTAAGATTAGCATATACATGTATAAGAGATTCTAAATAAGTTTTCTAAAAACTTTTTATTTCATCTTGTTAAAAAAAAAAAAAAAAAAAAACTTGGGATACTTTTTATAGTATCAATTTGCACCATTCATATTTTCAATCAGAAGTCTGTTGTTCATGCAATTTCACTAAAACTAAGTGTTAGGCGGCAGCACTAATTGCGCAGGTGATAAAGAATATTTTATTAGCGATTAGTGACGTCATCAAACTTTTCTTTTTTTGTGGAATTGCAGGATCCACAAACGTCAGTGTCCCTGATATACATGAAACTTTATAAAACCTCTTAACAATCCCTTTAATTCTTCAAGAATGACGAGATGAGCACGTCTAAATACATCTTACATTATTATTACCACATTATTATTACCTCATTATTATTACCTCATTCGTGATTCATGAGATTTATCATATTTTCAGCAAGTTCATTGTTGTCACGTGATTTATAAACCTACTGGGCATTCCTAGTGATCAGTGGACCTTAGAATAGTCTATCCTAATTGATGGGAATAAATCAACACTAGTAAGATAGAGAGCAACAAGTCTAAATGGGCAAGAAAGAATTTACGTGGACGATATGAAGAATTCTTTAAGGTGTATGAAATATTAATGATGTCTGACAAGAAAGCAAAAAACACCAGGTAGAAACTACAGCCTTGGTAGGCAAAAAAACTCTTGATGATACCAAATTTCCAATTGAAGCACGAACAGAGCCCTTTAAGTTCTCAGGCAGGCTTCCGAACTTTGATGAAAGTGCAAGAATGTCTCGTAGCTCTAAATTTTGACAGTATAAACAAAAGCCTTCAAGCTCTTAAATTAGCCACCAGATAGCGATGACGTTATAGAAACAAAAGCCCCCTCGCTCTAAGATGGCTACCAAATCTTGATGACATGCTCTAAAATTAGCCACCACCACTTGATGATAATACAAACAAAAGCCTTCGAGCGATATTGTAGGCTACCAAATCTTGATGATAATACAAACAAAAGCCTTCGAGCGATATTGTAGGCTACCAAATCTTGATGATAATACAAACAAAAGCCTTCGAGCGATATTGTAGGCTACCAAATCTTGATGATAATACAAACAATAGCCTTCGAGCTATTGATGACAGTAGAAAAGTAGAAAAGCCAGCTCTTAAGTTGGATACTGAATCTTGATTCAAGGTACACACTAAAGCCTTCAGATTCTAAAGTAGACTCTAAATCTTGATGACAGTACATGATTAAAAGCCGTCTAGCTCTAAAAGTCAAGCTTCAAGTAGGCTACCAAAATCTTGATGAAATACAGACAAAAGCCATAAAGCTCCAAAGTAGCTACCAAATCTTGATGACAGTAGGCCTACGTAATTAAAAGCCTGTTAGCTCGAAAGTAGGCTACAAAAAAGCCTTTGAACTATAAAGTAGGCTACCAAATGTTGATGATATACACAAAAAAGTGTTACAGCTCTATTGTAAGCTTCGGATGGTAATTTTTTGTGACAATACATGCAAATCATTCAGATTCATAAAGTATGTATACATATTTAGTTCAGAAAAAGTACCATGTTGAACACCAGTGATATAAATAAATGTGAACTATTTGAACTATTATAAGCTTACCTTGTTCACTCTCTCGTTGATGTCTGTTCAATATCTGTTCAGACGTAATTTCTGTAATGGCTAATAAACACAGGTATAAAATCACATTTGTCATTGAAACACCCATCTTTAGTTAATATAAATATAGATAAACGTAACGGAAACACTGCGGAAACTTGTAAAACACTGATTTTATTTTCTGACACAAAGACGTATAGTTGTTTACACGCGGTTAGTCATACATGAACTTTGACCTGCCGGGAATTACTAGAACATTACTGCGTCAGATTTATATTTGCGCGGGTCGTATTGACATCTTGGACTTGTTTACATTCAGCTGGTCTGAATCCAGACGATTTTCTTTATGACTGTCAACAGGTGTCATATTGAGAATTTATTGTCATCAATAACTTCTTTTTCAAGTCTTTTATGATATAGAGATCTTACTCAATACTTTTATGCAATAGAAAATTTCAAATTGTACAAAGTGTAGGATTTAAGCCCTTTATTCGCATGTTTTCTCCCCGATTCAAAAAAAGTTGGCGGTGACCCTTCTTAATCTTGAGAAAACTAACCCGAAGGAGAAGTCGGGATAGGCCTACTTATGTTTATCCAAGTTAGAAATAACTTCCCCTTTTCGTGAAAGGGGGGGATATACCTTAAAAACTAGTCTTAACCACCTTGGGGTCACGATGAGCCGGTTTTTTTTTTGTGACCCAATCATAATGTCAAAGTTGGGAAACTTAATAACAAGAGTTTTGCTGCTTTGTGATGTGTCTGTCACATACCATAAAATGTTTCCATGAATGTTATATAAAGGGGCAAGCAGGGGTCACTGAATTTTTAGATGGGGCTCACAGACAAATCTTTCCCTTTGTGAAATTTTAAAGGGGAAAAGTGGAGTGCAAAGCACCATTGTTGAAACACCACTGATAAAATAATGCTCTCATAATATGACGAATAAAGATTTTACATCACAAGAAGAAAAGGTTTGATAAGTTTAAAACAAATCTTTAATCTCAAACACTGGTCTATCAAATATATCATACAGTAAATTGAATGTAAAAATGACATGAATTACAAACACAAGGAACACCTAATAGACTGCCAATAATTTTGGCTTATGTTAGATTGCATACATCACATAATGTACACATTAAGAAGACAGATAATCTTGTGCCAATTTCAATGAAAATTTAGTAATTATAACTATGCACCATTGTGATCTTACTGACATTTGTAGGCAATTGCAAACAGTCACTTTTTAGGATATAAGTTTTCAGTCCTTAGACTAGCAAATTAACCCAAGTTTCTGTTTGATTTCCTTGACTTCAAAATAGAAGATTATGTTTATTTATTTGGCAGTGATATCATTTCAAATGTCCATCATCGTGCATAATGCTTTTTAAGTCTGAAGCACCATTTGTATTCGTTGAATGAGTATCTGTCATGTTGAAGTTTTAAACTACATTCTGAAAGTGATACAGGTTGTCTAAATAATGGATATACCAGGTGGTAAACACCATTTCATCACTTTTATGAATTAAATTCTGATGTATGGGTCTCCTTCAATTAAATGGATAGTAAAGAGCTTTGTATGTGTATCAATAACATTGAGTCACTGATGATAGCACCAACTTACATCATTCCAGTCAGATTTATGTGGTTCCTGTATTTCCAATAAAAAATACATTTGATGATGTCACTATTACAAAATCTGTTTATATATTATTATATATATGGCCTTATGCAATAGTGATGACATAAATCGCTTAGTTTATGTGGAATTGCAGGAACCACAGACATATGACTGAAAATTGAAATGAGGCAAATTGATGCCATCAGTATCCCTGATACTCATACAAAGTTCAAAAAGCCACTTTAACCAAAAAAATCCAGGGAGTTATTGGTATTTCCTTGTGCAGTCATTAAGGATATTATTTTCAATATCTGCACCCAAGATTGTTAATAGCACCAAAAAAGTCGAAAGAGTCCAAAAGTTCACTAAAAGTTTTGGATCTGGATATTGGATCTGGATACTGAATAGTGATACAGATAGCTGAAAATGAAATCAGCCAGTAAAAAAAAACATTTCAACAACTATATCCCATTTATGTAAAAACAATAACAAAACAAAGTATAAAACAATGACAACCAATAAAATGTGTTCTCTGGAAAACTTAGATACCTAGTTCAGTGAGATTTCTACACATCAACCAAATATGGGCTCATCACACCAGTCAGCACATTCTAGAGCTCTTGTTGTACCAGATGAACAATAACAGTTTAAAAACAACACTCTTGATCACAACAACTAATCAACTTTCTTCTTTTGACTCTTTCTTTTTGCTTTTATGTTTCTTTTTACTTTTCTTTGATTTGGAATGTTTATTCTTGTGCTTTTCTGAAGTTTTGCCTTCTTTTTTACTTTTCTTCTCCTTTCGTTGTCTTCTTTTAGAATTCTTTTCAGCACGATCCTTACTTTGTTCTCTATCATGACTATGTTCTCTATCACGACTGTTTTGTCTATCACGATGGTAATGTTCTCTATCACGAGATCTTGTTTTATAAATATATTTACCGGTATAGAAAGAGTCCTTATAGTCTCTACTATCATCTCTGTAAGCACCCCGATGTTTGCGAGCATCATAATAATCTTTGTGATTTTCTCTTCCACGAGCTCTGTGACCACTGTGTTTTGGAGAATCAATATTCCTTAAGGTGCTCACTAACATATTCTTGAGAAAAGTTTTGTTTGTTGGTGGAATTTTTGATTTTGTCCTGAAAGAAATAGAAATAAATATTGATAGATTACATTTTCAAGTTATCATAACATGTTAACATAACATTTTCTGGAAAACCATTTTGAAACGATTTTATCATCGAAAGTGGAAGCTGAAATTGAATTACAAGATAGTGGACCACAGCTATATACGCCACCACCGCATGCGGATGGTAAATATTCGAAATTTTGGGGCAAGGGCAATAACTCTGCTTCTAATGGTCAAAAATTGCTCAAATTCGAACTTGATCTTCGTTTTATGAATATGTCTACACATACGAAATTTATTTTGATTCAATCAAAAAATCTAGTTTTTAGAGCATTTACAAGCAAATGTTGACAGATGGATAGACAAGGGTGCCGCCAATATACATCCACATAAAGATGTGGGCGTATAAAAAAATTTTTACAGGAAGCTGAAATCGAATTCCAAAATGTGGTACAGTAAGCTGAAATTGAATTAAAAAATGTGGTCCAGTAAGCTGAAATTGAATTCCAAAAGGTGGTACAGGAAGCTGAAATTTAATTCCAAAAAATGGTACAGGCAGCTGAAATTGTAATCCAAAAAGTGGTCCAGTAAGCTAAAATTGTATTCCAAAAAGTGGTACAGGAAGCTGAAATTGAATTACAAAATGTGGTCCAGTAAGCTGAAATTGAATTCCAAAGGTGGTACAGGAAGCTGAGTTTGAATTACAAAAAGTGGTACAGGAAGCTGAGTTTGAATTACAAAAAGTGGTCCAGTAAGCTGAAATTGAATTCCAAAAAGTGTTACGAATTGGCAATAAAATTATCACATCTAAGTGATCTACGATTGTATATTGTATTGGATAGTAAGTGAATTATTCCATGGTTAAAATGATATTGTTTAAAAGTTTTTAAAGCATCCGTACTTTATACTTTCTGTAAACTTTTTGTGGCATTATTTAAATCTTGTCTTACCCTAACGATTAAAATCGGCATACCTGCAAAAGTTAAAGTTGTTAAAATTGTATTAAATATCACAACAAAGTGGAAAATACACTTATTCTAAAATAAAAATAGTTCTGTAATCATACCATCCAAATGCACCCAATTCTTTGGCTCTTTCAGCACTCCTCTTAGTCTCTTTTAAAATTTCATCTAATGCCTGCCTGAAAAATAAATATGGTCAATTTAATCAAGATAAAATATTATAAAATATCTATCGGGAAGACAGTACAACTGATGCTACTATAATAAATGAAAGCATATAACTTCTAGTCCTAGAATGGCTAGAAATGGCAAATTTATATCCTCTAATCATGCTCTAACTCTAATTGGTAAATAAAAGAAATTGAAAATATGAATCTCACTGTTCCAAATCTTCTTCGTGCTTTTCAATGTTATCATCACCCAAAAATGAGGTCGATGGTTCTCTTAGTAGCTGCGATTCGGCCATTTGTTTTATTATAGGATTACTTTATTTCGGGACCCAAAATTCCAGTTTATTTAATATTTCATTTATTTTTTTGTATACAAATATCACCGGAACCGGAAACATATAAAAGTTTTCCTAAACGTCAGAGACGGACTCCAATTTGCATGCGCTTGATGTGTTCACAAAATTATAGAATAAATGAATAAAAACGAAATGAAATTAAAAAAGTATATTCTGCTATTTGTAAAGAAAAATTAAAACACATTCTATCTAAACTGTGATTAAATCGTATCCACAAAAACCTCAGAAATCCTTTAATACATCAAAATCAAAATGATGTCTATATTTTTTGGTTCGTTTTCTAATTAATTAACATTTTGAACGAAACCTTTTAGATTTTTTGATAATTGGCTGTCTTCATACTATGAGAGGCTGTTAACAAGGTGGTATGTAAAATTTGAAAATAGATCTTCATTATTGATACAAAACATCACTGTCAAATACGTCTACAAAAGCGTTAACATCTAGAAGCTGTTATTTTCAATAGCATAGTAAGAATTTGCACAATATAAGAAAATAGCAACATTGTAACTGTAAGATTTTCAAGAGCTGACACCAATTTTCTTTAAATCCATATTCAATTTTTAGGCGCTTTATAAATGTCAACAAAATAGAGAGCAAAGAGGAGAGAAATATGATATTTTAGATAGCATGATCAGGAAAACTGAAAGATTCTTAACACAGTTAACTTTAATGCCTTACTTATCAGGTAATATTACTGGAATGAGCACTTGATTAGAAGTCAGAACATTAAAAAAGAAAGGAATATGCCCCTTTTCCATATCCCCCTCCCAATTTGCCTCTTTCCCTTTTCGCTTGCTCCTTCCCACTTACTACTAAGCCCTATCCCGTTTCGCTCCTTCCTACTTACCACTAAGCCCCATCCCGTTTCTCTCCTTATCACTTCAGCCCTTACCTTTTTAAAGCTTAGGCCACATGAAAAAATGAAGCTTTCTCTGGGTTGAGATAGAGAAATTGCTTTTCTGTAGAATTCAATCTGTTTTTAATAAAATCAATAGGGCATACTTTATTTCGGTTTCTCTTTTTGTTTATCATTTTTATGCCTATTTCATGGTTTGTGTCGATCTTTTTAATACTGTTTAAATAAGAAAGAGAGGATTCAATTAATTTTTTGTAATTCTTGTCAAGCCCTTTCTTAAAGTAATATGAAAATTGGCATGAACGATTTGAGAATGGGATGGGCGAAAATGAAAAGGGGGGTAAGTCAAAAGTCAAAGGAACAAAACTGAAAAGGGGTGAGTCGAAAATGGGCAAAATGGAAATAAACAGAAACTGAGATTGAATCCTGCTTGTGAGAAAAGCAAGTGAGAAAGGATACTGTATGTGCAAATAACTGAGTTACTGAGACATAGCATCTGCAACTGTAGTAATAGAATCTACTTTAAATATTTCGATACACACTCAAACTTTAAATGAAAAGAAAAAACACTATTTGATTCCATTTATTTTTATAGGAAGAGATTAAAGTGTACTGAAAATTAAAAGTGAATCAAGATGGCTAAGTTTAAAGCTCAGATGTTATGGGAGAATATAGAGAAATGTGATCTGTCTGCTGTTCATGGTTTATTAGATAGTGGTAATATCAATTTGGAAGAAAGAAATGAGGTACTAATTATAGTCATCTTTATATCTTTCTTATACTAAATAAAAATCATGTCCAAGTTTTTAATTACATTGGTTATTTTTGTATCAGAATTAAAATGATATGATTATCCATTGCTGTGTTCGGTTATATAGTTTAATGTGGGTAAGTGATGTGCTGAAGGGAAACTATGTGGAAGAATTATGACTTGTTAATAGGTTTACTTTAATCGAGTATGAAATTCATTTTTCCCAGCCCTGTCCATGAGACATTGAGGTGCATTTTCTGGTGGTTGCTGAAACCCCCTCCCTCCACTGTACTCCACCCCAAGGCTGGTAATAATGTTGAAATTTTGGTATTGATACATCAGTATGCTTGCATTTTCTGTGACTCAACCTAACTTTAGCTTTCTTTCACACTCTTTGCATCTGCCGTAGTCCAATGAAGTGCTGAGGACATAAAATCTTTTCTTATTGTTAAATGTTTTTGATGGTTGAAATAAGTTTTTTTTCGGTTTTCTTATTAAAGATGGGCCAGACATTTTCTAATGGTAGCCAGTGAAAAAGGTGCATTAAATATAGTTAGAGAGTTATTAGAAGCTGGTGTGGATCCTAATGCAGTGGATAATGTAAGTACCATTTCTGACCTAAGGCTCCCTTACATAAGGTCAATTTCATCTCTGCATTTGACCTTATGGGCCTCCACATTTTATAACATTGCAGTCAAGAATTCATTCTTGCTTATTTACTGTGAAGAGTTCAACTAGAATGAAAACGATCGGGCCATACATACCAGATCAAAGATGTTCTATAAAGGAAAGTTCTCCTTTCTTTGTTCTTTGTAAGTATTGGTTAATTGTGGAACTACTGGTGTTATAATTGTTACGAAATCTAAATTTGAGGACATTAGTTATTATCCTTGTAAAACATGGTTGGCGGGCGTGTAGCTTGTTGTGCATGTTGAGCAGCTGTAACTGGAGTGGCACAAGGCAGGGTATTCTTACTCTTCTAGACACCTGATACCACTGTGCATTATGAAATACTTACTCATTTATGATTGATAAACTTCCTCATGTGAAAAGTTCATTATCTTCTATCAATATTTTGCAAAAATGTTGTTTTGGATTTCAGGTTTATTTATTGCTAGTTTCTTTTATACTTTTAATGCTGAGATGGTCTTTATGATTTTTGTTTGTAGGATAACTGGAGTGCTCTACTATGTGCTGCTAAACAAGGTCATTTAGAAATAGTAATAGAATTATTAGAGAGAGAAGCTGATATAGAGCATAGAGATATGGTAAGTATGTTATAATGGATGGCCAAAACTCTTTTCATACCTTAATTTTTGATGGTTTATTTATCAATAGGTATCTATTTTAATACAACACCTTGGATAAAAAATCTGAAGGTTTCCTCTAGACTTATGGCAGGATCAGACTTTGGTCATTTAGATTATGGATTCACATCAGCTGCCTCAAAGCTAAAGATAAGATGATTCATTGCACTACCTGCCCTCATTAGCCTCATTTTTGAATGAATGTGAAACTTTTGAAAACAGCAGTATCCTGTGGACTATTTGAATTTCAGCGAATACCATTCATTATTTCAGTGTGGATGGACACCATTAATGTGGGCCTGTTATAAAGGTCGAGTTATTGTGGTACAAGAATTATTAGAGAAGGGAGCTAACCCAAACATCAAAGCTGAGGTACCATTTAAAACACATATATTCATATTTGTTACAAATTTTGGTTTAGAATATGAGTAAACGTAGTTAGTTTGAATTTGAACTAGTTATATATTTGTAAAAAGATTTCATTATATAATGTCTGATGAATTTATAAAATATTTTATCTGTAATGTTTTAGCATAATATGACATGTTTAGCATGGGCTAGTGGTAGAGGTCATACAGAAATAGCACAAATGTTATTAGAAAAAGGTGCTAAAGCTAATACAGCTGATAAGGTGAGATTTTGTTTGATTTTAGATTTCAATTACATGTATATCTTAATTATGATGCTGTTCTATTTTATTAGTACTGGTTTTTCAAACAGCAAATAGTTTTCATACTTTTTTGGAAAGATAACCATTTCAAAACTAGTGGTCCTGATGAGAATTTTATATCTGAAACATGTGTCAACGGTATTAGACAAGAATCTGATAATAAATCTAGATGTTCAATTTTATGAGTTTGCTCAAAGGTAATCAGTTATATGAACTATATTTGGCTTAAGAAATTCTGAAATTTGAATCAAAAATTTCAGTATGGGACAACACCATTAATCTGGGCTTCAAGAAAGGGTTATGTAGAAATTGCTGATGCTCTGTTAGCTGATGGGGCTAATGCTGATGCTTCTGGAATGGTGAGTTTTCTTGTTATTCAGATTTGATTCTGTACAGGACAATATGGCTCAGAATTATTTATATCATGGTCTAAATAAAGAGTTCAAAATGAAAATATGGATGAAAATGTTTGGAAAATTGAACCATTATTAAACAAAGTTATAATCAAATGAATCATAGTCAAATATGGATTTCTGAAATAATTGATTTTTACTGAAAAGACCTACAAAAAACTAACCAAATAACAAAAAAACATAGATTTATGATCAATGGGAGTTAAATGTTTGTCTAATAAAACAGAAAATTATGGAATTAAGGACTTATTATTTTTGATCTATATTTTAGAATTCTTGGACACCATTACTGGTAGCTGCTAAAGGAGGTCATACTGAAGTAGTACAGTCTTTATTAAAATATGATCCTAATGTTAATGCTGTAGATAAGGTAAGTGAACATATTTTTGTTCATTCAATCTCTGATTGTGACAATGCACAGTATTTGGTGCTTTAGAGCCGAAAATAAATTTGTATGTTGAATTCTGCTGTTTTCATTGTACACCACATGGTCTTGCTAATTTTCTTTCTACCAATTAGGCATATAGCAAAAAGACTTTTAATTATATGTTTTATATTATAGGATGGGTTGACAGCATTAGCTATTGCTGCTAAAGAAGGATTTAGTACCATTGTTGGTGATCTATTGGCTCAAGGTGCTTATGTTAATATGTCAGACAGGGTAAGTACATTTATATACTTGTCATGCCTTCTTTATTAATACATGCTTTTAAAGGTTATATAGAGATAGTAAGATCATTATAAAGTAGACATGTTTATATTGTAGGCTAATGATACTATATTAATACATGCTGTAAAAGGTGGTTATATAGAGATAGTAAGATCGTTATTAAGCAGACATGTTGACATTGATGTAGAGGGAGCTGTGAGTATTATATTTTTTGTCTGAAATGGGGTAATAAACTTGATGGTGGTAGATTCCAACCTCTCAAGTCTAGGTCAATATTGATTTTGCTGGAAAGTAGAGAATTATGGCATCTCTTTTCAGCTGATTTTTTCCAGTCTGCTTTGCT